GTCCCCGCCCCCTAAAAAAAAAAAAAAAAAAAAAAAAAAATCCAAAAGTCTCAGAAAATACACTAATTAAACATAACTTTTAATAAGTTTTAGAAGTTTATGTTCTATTTTCTTGTGTTTGGAATGACTTCATTTGGATTATTCATGTCGTGTGAATTAAGATCAGGTCTCCATTCTTATTTTCACTGGTTATCTTTCCACAGGAAAGGTAAATGGACAAATTGTCGCATGACTAAGTGTGGCCCACACCAGCTCTCTTGGATGAGCAGATTGTTGGTCTTAGCGGGACTGGTCAGAGTTTGTAGCTGGCTCACTGCAGTTCTGTATCACCCACCTCTAGAGACAAGCGGAAGTGGATAACTAGTTATTGGATGTTAATTTTTGCTCTCTTCTTAAAAGGGAAGTTTATTCATTATTTAGTTTCCTATATGAACTCTGAGGCCATACTGATGGCCCATGTGGCTCTGCTTTTTTTGGACTTGGCTGCAACAGAACTAACTAGGGTTGAAAAAAAAATTTTTTTTTGAGAGTTTTTTGCTGTAGGGCGTGTACACTCTCCAGAAGGACAGAGAGAGACAGAGAGTGAGAAATCACCCCCCAGGGGGGATGGCCATGCCTCAATCCCTTCTCCTCCATTCTCCTCTCGGGATCTTGGGCGGGCACGCACGCACACACGCCCAGCTTGAGTTTAAGGCCCCATGTCTGAAACTCCAACCGTGGTCAACTACATGGGAGTCCAGCTACATAGCCATTATGCTAACTGCTGGTCCGAGTAGGGTTGAATTTTTAAGTGGGACTTGGGTGACCATCTCTGATTTGATTCAATCTCTGGCTGTTCTACGATTTGTCAGTTTACATTTAACTTTTCCATTGTGAAATGAAGTTCTAGGACTTTTTTCGGGAGAATGTCTTCTGTTTATAAAACAGTATGTTAAGATACAAGTTATAATATTATCTTAATCTTTTTGGTTGATTTGGTTCTTAGATTTAATGGAAATATAAAATGGTATATAATATTTAGAGTTCTCTTAGCTTTTTAAGCAACTAGATTTGAATGTTATGAGATGGGTAAGTAGAAAGAAAGCCAAAAGTCTAGTTGGAGAAACTTTTTAAACTGTTACTCATGCATAATGAGTTCATTAGTAATATTTGACTGTTACTTATGAATATCTTGCCTTTGATTTGTTTTTCCAAATTTATATTCTGCTTCTCCGATTTGCTTTTTTTTCAGTGATGATCACATAAAGTTTTTCTGCTTTCAAGTACTAGAACATCAAGTTAAATACAAGTAAGGCTTTTTTCTCACTGTTTTGACTCCAAGATATGTGGGGAAGGGTCTTTTTTTTTGTTTTGTTGATTAGTTTTTTTCTTTGAGGAGACAATAAAGGTTATAAACTGACAATGTGGAAGTTAGAGGTGTTTTAAATATACTGAGTTAGGAATCAGCAGGTAGCATAGACATTAAGACCAGAGAGGCCAATTTCACGATTTGAGTCCCGGACCCAATCATACTGAATATACTGGATGTGTATATGTGCCCAGAAACCCCCAGAGGAGAGTGGAGAAGGGTGAGGCGTGGCATCCCCCCTGGTGGGGGCAATTTCCCCCTCTTTTCCTAATGAGTGCCCTATAGCAAGATACTTAAAAAAAAAAAAAAACTGATCTAGTTGGTAACATGTACAAATCCAGACATTTCATAGAAAATGCTAGTTTCCAGCTTCTCTGGAAAAATCAGAAGATCCACCAACTCCAGACCTACTGTTCTCCATGTCAGCTCTTTATTAGAGTTGAGTGGCAGTCTGGGCACTTGTGTTTAGAACCTCTTATATAATTAAGCAGAAACCATGACTTAGTGCTGAAAAGACCCTTTGTTCACCTGTTGATTTATTCTGTAGACTGCTGACCTCAAAACACGGATATACTTCTGTTTGGGACATTTCCTAGACATTTAGTTTAGGAAACCTTAAATAATTGAGTGCTAAACAAATTTTCCCTTTCAAATATTTAAGGGGCTGTTACTTTTAACAACCGCAGACACCAAATATAGCCATTATTCTTTTTCTTTATTTTGGACAGATACTCAGAACTAACCACTGTTCAACAACAGCTAATTAGGGAGACGCTCATATCTTGGCTTCAAGCTCAGGTAAAATAGTCATTTCATTCAGTACCTCAAATTGCCAGACAGTTAAACTTTTATTTTTGCAAGAGTTTGCAACTTTACCTCAAAATTTTTTTCTCATTTATACTCCTATAGCTTTTTCTTTTTTAATGTGTTGGTTTTGAAGATCACGGGTAGGTAAAACTTGGCAGTAATTTAAAATTATATCAGTAATTGAAACTGTCATACATTCCATAATACAGTGTAGAAATTTTGGTTTTTAAATATAATTTCTTTTTTTTTTTTAACAATTAGGTCATCGGGAAAGTCTATACAAAAATACGTCATGATTTTCCCAGTGACCCAGTACTTTACAAAAGCTGCTTTTCTGTTTTGCTATTAAAGGTCAGCCCTCTTGGACAATCTAGTCACAGGGACCCTTTTTAAAAGATCAGTAGAACTCTTTCTTCATAGCATGTTCTTTTGGCTAATTTTAGATAATTTGGGGGCTAGCCCCATACTGTAGTAGTTAAACCTATGCCTAGGAAGCTGGATCCCACGTGGCTGAACACTGTTTAAATCGCTGCCCTGGGAACCAGCAGTTAGCGTAATGGCTATGTCACTGGACTCCCACATAGTCGACCGCGGTTCGCATCCCGGACCCGGTGGCTTAAAACTCACGCCGGGCGCGTGTGCGTGTGTGTCCAAGATCCCGAGAGGAGAATGGAGGAGAAGGGATTGCGGCGTGACCATATCCCCTGGGGGGTGATTTCTCTCTTTCTGTCTTTCTGTCTCTCTCTGTCTGTCGGGCGAGCGCATGCGCCCTATAGCGAAAATCTCTAAAAAAAAAAAAAAATCGTTGCCCTTAAGGCTTGAAAAAATGCCAGGCACATGTGTGTGGGTACCCAAAGTCCTGACAGGATGGAGAAATGGAAGAAAAAGCATTATGATGTGACCACACCCCACTGGGAGGGGAGTGTTCTCTCTCTCTCTCTCTCTCCAGTGTGTATACATACCCATTGACAATAAAAAAGAAATTAGCTAACTTTAACAAATAAAGGTGTTGTGTAGCCAGAGTTTTTATTTTTGTAGCTAGAGAAAATAGTGGAATATTTTTTCTGCTTAGAAGTGATTATTAAAGCTCTGCACATGAAACTTTTCTGTTAAAGTGTAAAAGTGAGGCCCAGCTGCAGTGGTGCACTGTCGTGCTTGCAGGCTGAGACCAGGTTCAACTCCTGGTCCAGCCTGAAGGCCGAGCGTGGTAGTGCACACCTATAGTCTAGGTGGGAGTCCGAGTAGGTGGATTGTTTACATGGGAGATCCTGTCAAAAAAAGGAAAGATAAAAGCATAAGAATGAGAAGCAGCCATTAGGAGCAAAGTAACCTTTGTTCATTTTGATTGTTCTCCATTTGGCTGGTCACTTAAAATACTTTCTTGATCATTTTGAAGCATATTTGTTACACAGCTAATCTGGACCCTGTAGATGTTTGGTGGATTTCGCCAGTCAGTAATAAATAAGACAACCCTGTGTTTTGAGTTCTTTCAATTGACATTTAATTTCATGAACTGTTTCTGTCTATCAGATGCTGAATCCCCAGCCAGAGAAGACCTTTATACGAAACAAAGCAGCCCAAGTCTTCGCCTTGCTTTTTGTTACAGAATATCTCACTAAATGGCCCAAGTTTTTTTTTGACATTCTCTCAGTAGTGGACCTGAATCCAAGGGGGGTAGATCTGTACCTCCGAATTCTCATGGCTATTGATTCAGAGTTAGTGGATCGTGATGTGGTGCATACGTCAGAGGCAAGTAACTTCCCATTCATTTGTGATGTATTGTAATTTTGTAGGCGATAATGGGCACATAGTAAAAGGAGCAGCAATCTTTTTTGAGAGAAACTTTCTTAAGAATAATTATAAATTTAACCAACTTTTAAAATTTTATTCTACAAAGAATTTGAACTTGAGTTTTGGTCAAATGTATCAATAGACTAAAATTAGACTTTTCTTAACTAGGAAATATTTTCTCCAGTTAAATACTCAAAATGATTTTCTCTTATAATTTGTTGAAACATGCAGTCTGTATTTAATATCGTTATATAGCCTCCAAGCAAGGAAGAAGCATTGCTTATGGATTATCAGTGCTGCTTCTGTATTCTCAGTCGCATGACTGTCACCTTACTCTCTATTTCATCATTAAGCTATATAACTTTCTCCCTATTCTTAAAGGACACAAGTGAAGTAATATCAAGTGTCTGTAGTAATTAAAGATGATTGTAATGAAAAATAGAACTGTAAAGGGTATCATCATGCATTTAATTAACCACCATTTTGTAAATAGTTTAAGTATCATGTTTACATATTGAGAAATAAATTACCACATGCTTAAGATTTCTAAGCAATACTTATTTATAGTTTGTATTTAATAAGAAATTTAGTCTGGCACTGAAAAATACAGCAGAAAGGATATGAAAAGAATCACAGGATATGATTTTAGAGCTGATAAATGGGAATAGTGGCAGAGGATGTGTTAGCAAGGCTGGAAGTTTAGGGTCGAGGAAATTGCTCTGTATACTGTATTCAGATGTCAAACGTTATTTTGTGAGTAATCTACATTGTGTATTTGGTGTTTTATTTTGTTTTGTGTTTTAGGAAGCTCGTAGGAATACTCTAATAAAAGATACCATGAGGGAACAGTGCATTCCAAATCTGGTGGAATCCTGGTACCAAATCTTACAAAATTATCAATATACTAATTCAGAAGTGACATGTCAGTGCCTTGAAGTAGTTGGGGCTTATGTCTCTTGGATAGACTTATCCCTTATAGCCAATGATAGGTAAGTATGCCTATCACGTTTTATAGTATAAGCCCGCAAAAAATACAGTATCTAAAACTCACTTAAACTCATTTATCTAAAACATTTGAAAATGTTATAACAATTTCATTCCTCCATTACCAGGTTTATAAATATGCTGCTAGGTCATATGTCAATAGAAGTTCTACGAGAAGAAGCATGTGACTGTTTATTTGAAATTGTAAATAAAGGAATGGACCCTGTTGATAAAATGAAACTAGTAGAATCTTTGTGTCAAGTATTACAGTCTGCTGGGTTTTTCAGCATTGACCAGGTCAGTAAATTTATATATACAATTTTGAAACATTTTCCAATAAAGCAGGATAGGTAGATAAATATAATCTTAGCTTTTCCTTTTTATTTTTTTTTTGTTCCTAAATGTTAGAAACTCTCCTAGTGATTAAATAAACTACCAGAAATAAACCATAATAAATACTGTTATCAGTAGCATTTGCCTTAGACAATAGAATATACTGCTTCATGAATTTGAATGACTGGGCTGCCTGTAATTGTGCATTTCTTACAAACTGCCAGGTGATGCTGACACTCTTGGTCTTTGGACCATATGCTAAGTCCCATTTACAATGCAATGTGTTTCAACCAAAATTAGATCTATTAATCATAAATATTGTATTTTGTCATACTCTTAAATCTCAACTCATTTGAGCTATTAGAGATCAGCCCCAAAAGAGTGAAGACTTTTTTTTTTTTAAGAGAGATTTTTGCTATAGGGCATGTGTGCTCGCAGGAAATACAAAGGAGAAATCAAGGAGGTATGAAGGAGATACAAGTGAGAAATCACCCCCCTCCCCTCCGGAGGGATGACCATGCCGCAGTCCCTTCTCTTCCATTCTCCCCTTGGATTTTGGGTGCACACACACACACACACACGCCTGGCCGAGTGTGAAGCTGCCGGGTCTGGGATTTGAACCATTGTCAACTATGCGGGAGTCCAGTGATATAACCATCATACAATCTGCTGATCCCAGAGTGAGGACTCTAAATGGGGTAAATTTAGAGTGATTTAGAAAGATAATTTGAAGGTTTTCATTTTAATTTGAGCTATGACAGAGATGAAGAATTTCTTAAATGTCTCTCTTGAATTGCCAGAGAGCACATGTCCCTAGACAGAGTGAGCAAGCAAGAAAACACCCAGTAGGGTGTAGTCATGCTGCAATTCCTTCTGCATTTCTCCATCCTGTTGGGATTTGGGGCATGCACACATATACATCCAGCATGTTTTTCAGGCGGTTGGGGCTGGAATTTTTTTTTTTTTTTTTTTTAGTGGTTTTTTTTATAGGGCACGTGGGTTGTTTTGCTATAGGGCACGTGTGCTCGCCAGACAGACAGAGAGAGACAGAGAGATAGAAAGCGAGAAATCACCCCCCCAGGAGAGATGGCCATGCCGCAATCCCTTCTCCTCCATTCTCCTCTCAGGATCTTGGGCACGCATACACACGCGCCCGGTGTGAGTTTAAGCCACCAGGTCTGGGACTCGAACCACGGTCGACTACGTGGGAGTCCAGCAACATAGCCATTACGCTAACTGCTGGTCCCTGGGGCTGGAATTTGAACTGTGGTCAGCCGTGTGGTATCCAGCTCCCATTAACCATGATGCTATGGGACTGGCCCTAAAACATCTGTGTATTTCTGAAATGTCAATAATACAGTTTTAATGGTTTCCTTGCTCACACAACAATAATAGCATTTTCTTGCATCTCTAATCATTGTCTTACTTAGTCCCTGGTCAAAGTCATAAGATGATGAAGATAGATCCACTTTCTATAAGCACAGTGTAAGGGTAATTTATGAAAATAATCTAGGTTTTAGTTCAGCCTTAATACTGCTAAGTCCAGAGACTGTAATTATAACAGTAAGCCCGTGTCCCTCTAGGGAAGTTGAGGTACGAATCAGATAGTATCAGAAAGGACGGTTGTAGCTCTCCACTCCATGCACTTAGGCAATCCTGACCCCTTTCTTCGTGGCGCAGTGGGCGGAAGCTGGCCGCCTACAGCATCATCCTCAGCTCCTGGGGAGTGATCTTGTTGATAATGCTGGGAAAATTTTTCAATGTGCATTCCGCTATGTTAACTGAGGATATTCCCTTCACGAGCAATATTTTGAGAATGGCCCCCAGGACATATACAACCTCCGTGAGCTAGTCAGCTACAGCTGTTTCATCAGTGCGCCTTTTTTACCTCTTTCTTGGAGGCTTCTCTTTCTGCCAAGTTCAGCTCGATAAGCACTACGAGTACTTCATGCACTGGAGCATCCTGCTTCCCTTCTCCAGCTCCCTCCTCTATTTAAAGTCTCCTCACCATGCACCCTCTGTGGGGCTGGGTTTCCCTGATGAGACCAGATCCCTCTTCTCCATTCTCTGGCGTCCAACCCAGAGCGTTGAGGGGCTGGGACTGACCAATCCCTGTCTCCAGCCCTCTCGCCTTGTTCAGAACCAGTATTGAGAAACTGCGCTCTCAAAACAAAACAAAACAAACAAAGGGACCAGCAGTTAGCGTAATGAATATGTCGCTGAACTCCCATGTAGCCAATCATGGTTCGAGTCCTGGACCCGGTGGCTTCAGCTCACGCCGGGCATGCATGCATGCATGCCTAAGATCCCAAGAGGAGAATGGAGAAGGGATTGCGGCTTGGCCATTCCCCCCGGGGATGATTTCTTGCTTTCTATCTCTCTATCTGTCTCTGTCTCTTAATGGTGAGCGTATGCACCCTGTAGCAAAAACCTCTCCAAAAAAAGAAAAACATACAAACAAACAAACAAGCAAAAAGAATACTATACTATCATGTGGCACTGCTAACTTTATTAGACCATGTTTACTAAATTCAACCATTTAGAAAGGAGAAGGCTTTCAACCACAACTCTCCTTAAGTTTTTATAAAGTTGGTGTGTCTGCAGGACTGTAATCATCAAAGACAATTGCTTTAAAGAGTCTTAGGGGATGGGATGGGCCTGCCCCATAGTGAAGTACTTCGGAGGCTGAATCCTACATGGCTGACCACAGTTCAGATTACAGCTCTGATGACTTAAAAACCATGCCAGGCATGTGTGCCCCCGAATCCGGATGGGTTGAAGAAATGAAGGAAAGGGGATTATGGCGTGACCACATTCCACTGAGGGGTGCTTTCTCTCTCTGGAGAGTGTACGTACCCTCTGCCAATATAAATAAAGGATACTGGTGGTGGATAACAGTAGCAGATTTCCAATCCTAAAAATTTCTGCGGTCAAAATGGTGCAGTTAAATGTCTGATGTTGGCTTAAAACTGAATCCTGTAATTGGTACTCAATTCATTTTGGTTTAAATTTCCTCTCTTACTCTTGAGTAGGTAGTTTTATATTGAGGTATATCTTGATTACTTATAGGAAGAAGATGTTGACTTCCTGGCTAGGTTTTCTAAGCTGGTAAATGGAATGGGACAGTCTTTGATAGTTAGCTGGACTAAATTAATTAAGAGTGGGGATATCAAGAATGCTCAAGAGGCACTACAAGCTATCGAAACAAAAGTGGCGCTGATGTTACAGCTACTGATTCATGAGGATGATGACATCTCCTCTAACATTATCGGGTTCTGTTACGATTATCTTCATATTTTGAAACAGGTAAGTCCTTGTTTCCTTCCTTTTGTTCAGTAGGTACTATAAAGAAGATGTGGAGAATTAGAAAAGATGGGGAAAATGGAATACCCATAATTCTACCTAAAGATATTTACTGTTAAATTTACTATTAATGTATTTCCATCATTGTTTTAAAATTTTTACCCAGAAAACAGGAATGGCTAATTCCTAAAGTCCACCTAACTAACAAGCTTTAGAGTTAGATGCAGTCTTAGGTTATTTTCAAACCTTTACTTTTTTATTTTATTTTTATAAATTCTGCCAGAGGGCATGTGCACTTGTCAGAGACACACACAGAGAGAAAAGGTGAGAAAGCACCTCTTTTCATGGGGAAGAGTTACACTGCAACCCCTTCTCCCACATTTCTCACTCCTTCATGGATTTGGGGCTTGCACGCACACTTGCCTGGTATATTTTTCAAGAGGCTTGGTCTGGACCCCCAACCATGTAGTCAGCCATGTGAGTTCAGCTGCCTTAACCGCCATGCCACCAGCTGGCCACGTGCTTATTTCTACATGCTGTATAAATTTTGTTAAGCATAGTTCCTTACTTTAATTCATGTACATCATTTCTTTTTATGTTTTTTGTTTTTGTTTGTTTTTTTGAGAGATTTTTGCTATAGGGCATGTGTGCTCACCAGAGAAACAGAGAGACAGAGACAGAAAGCAAAAAATGACCCCCCCACCCCCAGAGGATGGCCATCCCACAATCCCTTATCATCCTCTGTTCTCCTCTTGGGATTTGGGGCGTACACACACATGCACCCAGTGTGAGTTTTAAGCCACCAGATCTGGGACCCGGGAATCAAGCACCAGTCAACTACATGGGAGTCCAGTAATGTAACCATTATACCATCTGCTGCTCCCCACGTACATTTCTAATAAATAGTTTTTACGTTAAAATTTTCACCTAGACAGTTGCTCCCAATAAAAACTTAAAATGTGGGACCAGCAGGTGGCGTGGTGGTTAAGGCGCTGGACACTCCCACATGACCAACCACGGTTCAAGTCCTGGACCTGGTGACTTGCTTTCTCACTTTCCCTCTCTCTGGTCAAATTAAAATAAAATAAATGAATAAATAAAATAAAATAAATAATTCTTTTTAAAAAAACTTAAAATGTAATATTAGTCTCTGTATTATAGTATGTAGCATTTTAAAGGATTATTACTTATTATGACATTCGATAAGAGAGCCTTTTCTGTTTTATTTACATTGGGTTAATTGAATCAAGTCAACCTAAAATATTTTTATTTTCCAAAGTGTGTCTAGCTTAGCTTCTCTTTTAATAACACATGTGTGTCCACATTGGGATTTTAGGCAGTATGGAAAGGTTTGATCACTTTTGCTAACTTCACTGTGTGTCTCTTAATAGTTCCTAGGCTTGTTTTGCTTTGTTTAAAAACAAGATACGATCATCCTATACTGCTCTGTAACCGGCTTCTTGGCTGAGAGCATTGTAGGAATCTTTAAAAATCAAGTTCATCTCCCCGTCTGTCTATATTTACTGGAAGTGGAATTGCTAGATCCTAGGTTAGGTACATTTTAAATATAGTCAGGTGCTGCCAAACTGCTGTTCAAAAGGTTGGGTGCATGTTTTAAATTATCTTCATTGATAAGAAAAATATTCTCATATGCAAGTATAACTTAAGAAACCTAATAAGTTATTTCTTACTTTTTAACAGCTTACAGTGCTCTCTGATCAACAAAAAGCTAATGTAGAGGTAATGAACTTCTTTTGCTTCTTTTAAACCAATGACATTCTTTGTTTGGAATCTGCCTTGAAATGTTGCTTAATTCAAATTATATCAAATTCAAGGAGACTGACAAAAGCTGTTCTTCATTTTAGGCAATCATGTTGGCCGTTATGAAAAAATTGACTTACGATGAAGAATATAATTTTGAAAATGAGGTAAGAATTTTTTTATCGAAAATAAATCTAGCTTTTTTGCTGTGTGGCACATGTGCTTGCTGGAGATATGAAAAGAGACAGAGAGACAGGAAGGGAGAAATCACCCCCAGCGAGGGATGGCCACACTGCAATCCATTCTCCTCTCAGGATTTTGGGCACACACACACATGTGCCCAATGTGAGTTTCAAGCCTCTGGGTCTGGGACTTGAACTATGGTCCACTATGTGGGAGTCCAGTGATGTAACCATTATGCCATCTGTTGGTTCTGTTTGTGAGTACTTTTAAACAAGAAATATTTGAAAATTTAGTATAATTTTTATTGATTAAAGCTTTGGTAAAATTAATGAAATCCATTAATGCTTCTTTTTTGATATTTTGTCCATTAACCAATAGTCCTTTTAAAAAACCCCTAATTAGCTGGGGCCGGCAGGGGCCGGCAGGTGGCATGGTGGTTAAGGATGCTAGATCCCCATATAGCTGACCACGGTTCAAGTCCTGGACCTGGTGGCTTGCCTTCTCACTTTCTTTCCCTCTCTCTTTCTCTCTCTTTCTGTCCCTCTCTGGTCAAATTAAAATAAACAAATGAGGTTAAATAAAAAATAATTCTTTTTTTTAGAAAACCCTGTTAGTATTGAACTTTTACAAAATATTGACAGTATTAGTGGTGATAAGATCTCACTTTGCATTTACTAAGAGAGATAGTTGAGGCCTGCTCAGTGGTCCTCAGGGCCTTAGTTTGTGCGCGAGAGTAGTAATGAAGTGCTTCAGTGTCTGGTCTGGTTTTAGTTAAGTCTTGGTCAGAGTTGGGAGTAGGTCAGTTTCCCATCGGCTGTCCGGTACTTTCTAGGAATTTGATCACAGCATGTGCTGTTCAGTTGTGAGCCAGTGTTCTATCTCTGACTTTTGGCATTCAGAAACTTCGAATTGTAAAGAATAACGGTAACGATGATTGATGTACTGCATATAAGGATGAGCCAGGCTCCTGACATGTAAATCTTCAGTCATAGGCTACTGTTACTCTTTTTTACAGTGGATACTGAGATGCAAGGAGGATAAGCGAAGTGCTGAAGGTCTCAAAGTCTAATATGAACCCACTATGGTCCTAGTTTCTTCTCTTTAACCTCCTATCTAAACTCTTTCTGGCCCTGGGCTTTTAATTTTTTCTCTCTTTTTTTTTAGGTTTTTGCCATAGAGTGCATACAAACACCAAAGAGACAGAGAGAGAAAGAACACCACAACCCCTTCCTTCCATTCTCCTCTCAGGATTTTGGATATGCATGCATATGTCCTTGGCATGATTTTCAAGGCACGAAGTCCAGGACCCGAACTGTAGTCAGTCATGTGGAAGCCTAGCACCTTAACCACCATGCCACCTGTTGGCCCAAGTGGCCCTGGGGTTTTAAGTTCTAGGGCAGGGCTGTGTTCAAAAATAGTTCATTTGTAAGCAGGAGGGGAAAAACTACGAAGCACATTACGCTTTCCTATATAATGAAATAGTAATTAAAGTATAAAGTTTGGGGACCAGCAGTTAGCATAATGGCTATGTCACTAGACTCCCACATAGTTGACCATGGTTCGCGTCCTGGACCTGGTGGCTTAAACTCATGCTGAGTGTGTGTGCCTGTGTGTCCAAGATCCCGAGAGGAGAATGGAGGAGAAGGGATTGCGGTGTGGCCATCCCCCCAGGGGTGATTTCTCGCTTTCTATCTCTCTGTCTCTGTCTTTCTGGCGAGCACACGTGCCCTATAGCAAAAACCTCTTAAAATAAAAAAGTATAAAGTTTGAAAATGCAGTAAAACTGAGCATTTATATACACTTTAAGGTTCTTCAAGTTTTTAAAAATGAGTGTTTTAACCTATCATCACAGGGAGAAGATGAAGCCATGTTTGTAGAGTATAGAAAACAACTGAAGCTGTTATTGGATAGACTTGCTCAAGTTTCACCAGAGTTGTTATTGGCTTCTGTTCGCAGAGTTTTTAGTTCCACACTGCAGTAAGTTTATTTTTGTAACAAGCCCATTTCTTTCTTTTTCTCCCTTATATTGATCGAAAACAAGTGATTCATGTGACTCATTAATTCATGTAACTTAGCAGATCACATGTATGCCTCCAGAAACTGCACTTTTCTTGCCTCAATTTGTCTTGTTTTTTTTTTTTCCTGCTTTGGTGATATAAATTGTACTGCCCAACAAAATTGACAATTGTCATAAGTTTTTAATAATTTAAGGAAACTTCTGTTGGTGTCTTAGCCTGTGTGTCACTGTTTAAAAAGTTGATCTTCGGATCCCACTGACATATTATACCTTGGTAGGAACTGGCAGACTACACGGTTTATGGAAGTCGAAGTAGCAATAAGATTGCTGTATATGTTGGCAGAAGCTCTTCCAGTATCTCATGGTGCTCACTTCTCAGGTGACGTTTCAAAAGCTAGTGCTTTGCAGGATATGATGCGAACTGTAAGTATACTGAAGATAACTTACTTCAAACTTCATTGTTTTCACTGTAAGCTAGTGAGAGTTTCTTCATTTTTAGAGTTAGGATATGTTAATATTGGACCTCTCGATGTTGCAATAAATAAAAATGGGTTTCTTAACTTTTTCATGCCCCAGTTGGTCACATCAGGAGTCAGTTCCTATCAGCATACATCTGTGACATTGGAGTTCTTCGAAACTGTTGTTAGATATGAAAAGTTTTTCACTGTTGAACCTCAACACATTCCATGTGTACTAGTAAGTATACGTTTTACTCTGGATTTTTGTCATTTTCCATGTGTTTCAGCCGCAAGAATAAAGTATTCTTGCTTTCTGTCCTCTTTAAGTGGACAGTTTCTAACATTTACTCAAAATCTAAAACAAATCTCCAAGGGCCTCCTTGTGTGTATACTGGGGAGTTATTTACATATTCCTTGTCCTTGTCTTCTAGGCACTGGGAAGTAAATTCGATATGAATGAAAATGTAGCATGACCACTGCAATGAAAGCCTTGCGTGCACACGGAAATAATGAGTGTCTCTGCTTTTTTCAGATGGCTTTCTTAGATCACAGGGGTCTGCGTCACTCCAGTGCAAAAGTACGGAGCAGAACCGCTTACTTGTTTTCTAGATTTGTCAAATCTCTAAAGTAAGTATAAAGTTTCAGCTATTACGGGTTTATATTTAATTATTATTTTTAAAAATGCATCATGACTTTCCCAACGACCCGATAAATAGACATATAAATTATTTTCCAAGACTGTGGTAGATTTGGTTCTTTGTGTTCAGAAACCTGCTTTATCAGATACTCCTTTTTATCTTATGATTTCTTGTCATTTAGCCAGGTGCTTTGTTCAACACTAAAAGTAGTTTCTTTTCATACGTTTAATAGGTAACTCCTGACATCACTAACAACATTTATTAGTTATTTAACCATCAGTTTTACTGCTGTGGATTACTACTTACTTTGTTTGGAATTCTAAAGAATTTATTCTTTGAAGACAACACATTTTTAAACATGATCAGTTTTGTATTATTCTTTACTAGTACCCTTTTTTTTGCTGTGGAAACTATTCATTAGTAGGCTTATAAGACAGTAAATCATCTTGACAGTCTGTCACTACAGAACAACTGGAGGTAATTTTAAAGGAACGATTAATCATAGCTAGTCTTTATTATCAGATGTGACTAACCTAGAATTGAACTTTTTAGTTCTATCTTAAAAGGGAATTTTTTTTTTTTTTTGGAGAGGTTTTCGCTATAGGGCGCGTACGCTCGCCAGACAGACAGAGACATAGAGACAGAAAGCGAGAAATCACCCCCCAGGGGGGATGGTCACGCCACAATCCCTTCTCCTCCATTCTCCTCTCGGGATCTTGGGCACGCACGCACACGCGCCCAGCGTGAGATTCAAGCCACCGGGTCCGAGATGCGAACCGCGGTCGACTACGTGGGAGTCCAGCGACATAGCCATTACGCTAACTGCTGGTTCCCCTTAAAAGGGAATTTGATACTTTAGCCATGTTTCGAGACTATTATTAATCACAATTTTCCTTTTTGTCTTAATTCAGTAAACAAATGAATCCTTTCATTGAGGACATTTTGAATAGAATACAAGATTTACTAGAGCTTTCTCCTCCTGTAAGTACCTGCCCTTCCAAGGTATTTTTTTAAAACAGGTAGAGTGGAGGGAAATATGTTTGTGTAAGGATTAGTTAGTTCTGTTTACTAAAATTATGCTATAGTAAACAAAACATAGTTATGCAGAGGAATCAAGAGTTGACTAAAAATTTGGCAAGTTGGGGTAGGGTTTGCTCTCTACACTCTTGTTTGTTGGTATGTATGTGTATATACACATGATATGGTTTTTATTGTTTTTAAACTCTTAAGTACTCTCATAATCATTTATATCCTTTTGTACTAGGAAACACTCAAAGCAATTTTGTACACCTAATGTTTAGCCTCATTACAATCTTATAAATTATTTTTACAAAAGGAAACATGTTAAGAAGTCTAACCAATACTTGTACGATCATTTGCCAAGTCTCCTCAGGACCAGAGTGAGAACCATGATCTTTTGACCTCTATCCGTTTTCTTTCCATTAGATGGGCCTGGAAGAAAATTAGTTTTTATAAGTACTTGGCCTATGAGATGATGCGATACATTACATCTCCTGTTCTCTTGCACTTTCTATGATTAAAATGAGAGCAATTCAAAAAAGAAAAACTTCAATAAAATTAAATTTCATTCTAGGAGAATGGTTACCAGTCCTTATTGAGCAGTGATGACCAACTGTTTATTTATGAGACAGCTGGAGTGCTGATTGTGAATAGTGAATACCCAGCAGAAAGGAAGCAGGCATTAATGAGGAATCTGTTGACTCCACTGATGGAGAAGTTTAAAATTCTGTTGGAAAAACTGATGTTGGCCCAAGACGAAGAAAGGCAGGCATCTCTAGCAGACTGTCTCAACCATGCTGTTGGATTTGCCAGGTGAGCATGATGCTATTAAAACCGTAGTGTTTTCTTCTACACAGACAGAACAAACTTTCCTCTACATGCGCTATCACAAACTTTCTTTTGGATCTTTTGGATGGTCACACATATCTGTGTTTCTACAGCCGGATTGTCCAAAAACTTGTCTGAACCTTTCTCCTAAATTCAAAGTGAAGTAGAAGATTTTAGCTGAGAAAGGGAGTAAATCACACACCAGTCTGCCCTTGTGCCCTGACCACTGTCTACGTCTTCTGCTCCTCTGATTTCTTTGGTATAAGCTGAGTATGTGCTTCAGATGAACTGAAGTGTTTCTGTACCCGTGATACATCGGGACATCTTAGATTAGTCGTGCTTTAAAGGGAAGGTCTGTATTTCTGTCCTGAAGACCTCCCAAGCAGCTCTTTTGTTCTCCCCAAACATACATGTTTTATTTGCAAACAATAATAGCATGAGAGTTGTGATTGTTAGTTAAAAGTTATAAATTTTTTTCACAGACTATTTGAGAGCAAGAGCTCGACATTAGATAAGTTGTGTAAATAACTTCATTCTGAAGATTGTTCTCTAAGTTTAAGGGGTACTTTACAGATTGTTTAGTACTGCCTAATCATAGTGGGTTTTTTTCTCTCATCTGCACACTTCATCACTTGAATTTTGGTAAAGCATGTAGGTATAGTAAGAGGGTTTTATTAGCTGCATCTCATTTTATGTTAGCCTTCTGTTCTGGAAGGGTAACTGGAAACAATAGCTATGTATAATCATATTAGCTAAAGATGAATTATTACATGGAAAAAATTAATTTTGTCACTTTAGTAATTAGTTGTACATTATTTTTGATTACTCCATAACACTATTAAAGAATAAATTAAATCTATTTGCCTGATTTTTGCTTATATAGTCGAACCAGCAAAGCTTTCAGCAACAAGCAGACTGTGAAACAATGCGGCTGTTCTGAAGTTTATCTGGACTGTTTACAGACGTTCTTGCCAGCCCTCAGTTGTCCTTTGCAAAAGGATATTCTCAGAAGTGGAGTTCGCACGTTCCTGCATCGAATGATTATTTGCCTAGAGGAGGAAGTTCTTCCATTCATCCCATCTGCCTCAGAACACATGCTCAAAGATTGTGAAGCAAAAGACCTTCAGGAGTTCATTCCCCTTATCAACCAGATTACAGCCAAATTTAAGGTATCACAAACTTTCTGAGCAATGCGATGTGGGTTTGTAATCCCAGCTCTTAGACTGAGGCAGGTGGACTATGTGTTTGAAGTCAGCCTGGGAAACATAAAAAACACAAAAGAATTTTTTTAAAGAATTTTAATTTAAAGACTGGTTGAATTAATCTTTGCACATGTTTTGATATTTGCTCTTGGTTTGTGTGTGTGTTTTTTTATTGGAGAGGAGGTAGGTTTTTGTTTGTTTTGTTTTTAGGTTATTTATGAGAGGATTTCAGAAAAGTTCATGGAAAATGCATATTGTGAAAAAACTGCAGGACTTTAGGGTTTTGGCATCAAAATACACTTGGTACTTTAATTCTGGTTTTTTCCATGAACTTTTTGAAGAAACCACATATTTTTAGAGAAGAGCCACATCCCCAATAGGGTTTTTTCACTGTGATTGACCCTCAGCCAACCCGAATTGTGGGCACATAAAAACATAGGCACCGTGTGTGGGCAGGCCTGGGACCCACTAGAAACCTTATCATGTGGTTCCAGCTGTCTTCCCACTGCGCCACTTTCTGACCCATGCCTTTGTTTTTCTTTTGTTTGTATGCTTACTCCCCTCCAGGGAGAGGCACGTGCTACAGAGCTACAGGGCATGTGCACGCCACGAAGAGAGACCGGAGTTGGGAGGAGTGAGGAAGTACCTCTCTTTCAGTGGCGACGATGCCACACAGTGATTTCTCTATTCTCCTCTGAGGACTTGGGGCACACATACACACATGCCTGGCATGTTCTTCAGGCCACCAGTTCTGAGACACAAACCATGTTGTTGGCCATGTGGGATCAGCCGCCTTAGCCACTTATCATTGTCTGGCTCTATATGTCAGAATTGCCAGAAGGCATACGTATTCACCAGAGAGAGAGGAAGAGAGAACACCACCACCACCCCCAGTAGGACATGGTCACACTTCAGTCACTTCCCTCTTTCTCCATCCTGTCACATATGTCCAGTGTGTTTTGTTTTGTTGAGATTTTTTTTTTTTTTTTTGGCTCTAAGGGCCTGTGCGCTTGTCAGAAAGACAGAGAGAGACAGAGAGACAGAAAGCAAGAAATCACTCCTCGGGGGGATAGCCACACCACAATCCCTTCTCCTCCATTCTCCTCTCGGGATCCTGGGCATGCACACACACGCACCCGGCGTGAGCTTAAGCCACCAGGTCTGGGCCTCGAACCGCGGTTGGCTACATGGGAGTTCAGCAACATAGCCATTACGCTAACTGCTGGTCCCCCCAGTGTGTTTTTGAAACCACCAGCACCAGGATTCAGACTGTAGTCTGCCACGTGAGATCCAGCTCCCTTAACCAGTAGCCTATGAGACCACCCCTGCCTGCCATTGCTTTTTTTTTTTTTATTCCATTTAATCACATATGTCTTTACAGTGTATAACATTTCTTTTTCCAGCACGATTACCATGCATATCAGTCAAGACAAAGACATTACTATCCACATCATCATCAAATAGCTTTTTGTTTTTTTCATATTTTATTATTATTTATTCTCATTATTTTTTTAAGAATTATTTAAATTAATTTACTTATTTTATTTTATTTTGACCAAAGAGGGTTAGTGCAAGAGAGAGGGAAAGTGAGAAAGCAAGCCGCCAGGTCCAGGACTCGAACCGCTGTTAGCCCTGTGGGAGTCCAGCATTCTTAACCACCACTCCACCTGCCAGCCCCACTCATTATTTATTTATTTTTTTAATCATGCAATCACTATACATCATTTAGCTTGTAAAGAGACTTTACCTAATATCTAATGCTTCTCAGGCCTCTCCAGTCGAAGATGCTGCTATTGCTTTTTAAAAAATCATACGAGTTACTCGAGGATGTGGACCCTTAGTATTTTACCATTCTCAGTAACTAAGCACACTGCCTGACATAAAAGCCATTGTAATCAATGTTTAAAAAATAAACACCTGCTTTGTGTAGCAGAAGGAAACAAGTCTGATACGTTAGAAAAGCAAATTTAAAAAGTATTGAGTAGCAAATGTCTAAAGAAGTAAATAGGAAGCACTGTCATTTGGGTATCCAAGCAGAAATTTAGAAGTAATTCAATCTGCTAAAGTCAGCCAACTCACAGGTGGTGTTTTAGGACAAAGGGATACTATGGGGCTAATCATAAAGAGCAGGTTAACTTCTAGCTAGAAGACACAATCCAGTAATTAGTCTTTGAGGCAGGAAGTTCAGTCTTAGCTCAGGGGCACAGTCATGAAATTTATCTTTCAGGACAGGAGTTTCAGCTTGTGGCTGGGGCAGAATGTCCCTCATTGTTTCAGGTTTCAGGCTGGTGGTTTTTATCTCCTTGGAGTTCCCATGACAAACCTCAAACAAAGAATATCAGGCTGAGAGAGAAACAGTGCTTGATTTTAACAAGATGGTGTCAGTCTGGCTAAGCAGGCCCTTGCTTCAGGGATGTCTACACTGGAGATATTTAGGTTTTAGATGCACCTTGTACACATTGCCTGAAAGTAATTTTGTGCAGTATTTTTGTATTGCAGTGTTTGACTGTGATCCTTCACATGAAGTCAGGGGTATAATTTTCTACTCGTGACATCATGCTGGTGCTTAGAATTACAGATTTTGGAACATCATGGATTTCAAGTTAGGGATGCTCAATACGTGTTTGATGATGAAATGTGTCTGATTTTCTATATTTTAAACTGAAGCTTAAACTGCAGGAAATGTGTCGAACTTAATGATCTGGCGGTTTTCAGTAATGTTGCACATTATGACATAGGTTTTATCTTAATGTTGCTCTTTGCTAAGTGAACTGTATATAATTGTGTGTGTGTTTGTGTATGTACATGTACACATGTGCACATATCCTAAATAGAAACTGAAGAAAAGCTTTGTGTAAAACGTTTTTTCTAAGTTTCATAATAATTGTCTTACTCATTTCAGTAGTAAAGGTTGTTTCTTATCTTCAGATACAGGTATCCCCATTTTTACAACAGATGTTTATGCCCCTGCTTCGTGCAATTTTTGAAGTGCTGCTTCGACCAGCGGAAGAAAATGACCAGTCTGCTGCTTTAGAGAAGCAGATGTTGCGGAGGAGTTACTTTGCTTTTCTGCAAACAGTCACAGGCAGTGGAATGAGCGAAGTTATAGCAAATCAAGGTGGGGGTGCATGCCCGGCCTCCTTAGTCTGATTAGTCTGCTTTAATCCTTGCCACAGTTGTGCATCTTTATGAGTAAAAGCAAGGCAAAGAAAACACAAAATTTGAAGTGACTATGTGTAGGTTCCTAGGATGACCATGCCTTTATTATCTTCGAATGATACTTTATCAGTTTTGTGTACAAGGCCTTAAAATGAGTTTACATTCAGAGGGCCGGCAGGTGACGTGGTAGTTAAGGGCGCTGGACTCCCACATGGGTGACCGTGGTTCGAGTCTTGGACTTGGTGGCTTACTTTCTTGCTTTCTTTCTCTCTTTCTCTCTTTCCTCTCTCTGTCCCTTTCTGGTCAAATTTAAATAAATAAATAAAGTTAAATAAAATAATTCTTAAATAAAATTAGCTTATATTCAGTCCCTCTTTTTTTCCAAGGCAGTATTCTTTAATTGGTTCTTAGTAATGCATCTAGCATGATGGCCACTTGCCAGAATTGATATGATATGAGTCTCACTGGCCAGTTTCCTCTCTATTTCTTTGTTTCTCTGCCACAGGGTGCATATACTCACCAGAGAGAAAGGGAGAGGGAGAAAACACCTCCCAGTGGGGCCTCATTAACACCACAGTCTCTTCTTCTCTCTTCATAGCATCAGGATTTGGGGGCTTGTACCCAGCTTGCCTATCAAGCCACATGGTCAGCCATGTGGGATCTGGCTCTCTTAACCACTAGGCTACAGGGCTGGCTCCAGTTTGCCATTTTGAAATGAAAAAGAAATGGAACAGGGACCAGCAGATGGCGTAATGGTTACATCGCTGGACTCTCATGTAGTGGACTACAGTTTAAGTCCTGGACCTGGCAGTTTAAAACTCATGCTGGGCATGTGTGTGTGCATGCCCAAAATCCCAAGAGAATGGAGGAGAAGGGATTGCAGCATGGCAATCCCCCTGGGGGGGGGTGATTTCTTCCTTTCTGGCCCTCTGGCAAACGTATGTGCCCTATAGCAAAAATCTCTCTTTAAAAATAAATAAATAAATAAATGGGATGATATGAATCAAGGTAGGGATTTTTGTTATATTAGTAATGCTATATGGAATATATTGTAAGATATCAAAGGGATTCTGATTTTTCAACATTTACTGCTTAGAATTGTAGAGCCCAGTTAATAAAAATCAAGGAACCTTATGCATTCTGTAAATGCTTTTGACTTGATACTACTATATATGAAATAAGAGCTGTATGTTGCATTTCTAGTTCTTTTTGGAATTAAACTCAAGTTCTCCCCCTCAGGTGCAGAGAATGTAGAACGAGTACTCGTTACTGTTATCCAAGGAGCAGTTGAATATCCAGATCCAATTGCACAGAAAACATGCTTCATCATCCTCTCAAAGCTGGTGGAACTCTGGGGTGAGAATGTTCTTTTAACCTTCCCCAGCCTGTTTCATAAGACTCTTAGAGGTGAAATGGAACCCTAATTCTAACGTAGATGGCAACTGGGAGTTGATTTTTCCCTAGCGATGAATTAATTGAATTTTTTAAAATACAAGATGAAAATTTGAATTCTCTTGGCAGGAGGTAAAGATGGACCTGTGGGATTTGCTGATTTTGTTTACAAGCACATTGTCCCTGCATGTTTCCTAGCACCTTTAAAACAAACCTTTGACCTGGCAGATGCACAAACAGTATTGGTAAGCACCTAGGGCTCTTTCTTCATCTTGTATAGTTCTCACGTACTCTGCTCACAATTTCTTCTTTGATGCCAGGTTGATTATATCATCTTTCATTAGTTTTTTTTTTTTTAAAGCTTTCAAATTAATATACTTTTTTTTGAAGGTTGATGATACCTTTAAACCTTTTGTGGGTTCTAATCAGATCCCAGTGCTAAACTTGGATAAGTAAAATCTAGCTCCTTTGACTTGAACAGCCAGTTCCCTTTATCTAGGACCATGAAAGGCACATGTTATAAACTTTCTGTAAAGCTTGATTGAGTTTATTGGTTTCCTCCTCCTAATTTAACCCTAAAACTTATACTTTGTACTCCCACAATCAGTGTATATTCGCCACATCATGTTGTACATGATAAATACATAATAATTTTACCTGTCAATTTAAAAAAGAAATAAAAATCAGAGCCAGCAGATGGTATCGTCATTGTACTCCTACATGACCGACTGTGGTTTGAGTCCCGGACCTGGTGGCTTGAAAATTGGGCTGGGTACGTGTATGTGCATGCCCAAAATTCCAGGGGGAGATGGAGGAAAAGGGATTGTGGCGTGGGCATCCCCAACATGATATTATTTCTCATTTTCCCTCTCACTATCTCTGTCTCTCTCTCTCTCCAGTGGGCACATATGCCCTAAGGTAAAAACCTCTTCAAAAAAACCCTGCTAGTAGTGCTTAGTAGTTTCTTTAATTATTAAGAGCAACAGATAGCAATTTTCTCTTCATATGGAAGTTTCCCCAAATCTCATCCTTGGAATACTTACTGCATTTTTTTCTAAAGAATTATTTAACTTATTTGTTTATTTATTTTAATTTAATCAGAGAGAGACAGAGAGAGAGAGAGAGAGAGAAAGCGAGAAAAGGAAAGTGAGAAAGCAAGCCACCAGGTCCAGGATTTGAACCATGGTTGGCCATGTGGGAGTCTAATGCCTTTAACCACAATGCCACCGGCTGGCCCCTGAATACTTACTGTTCAACAGTTGCTCTTTTTGGGGACCAGCAGTTAGCATAATGACTATGTTGCTGGACTCCCATGTAGTCGACCACGGTTCGTGTCCTGGACCCAGTGGCTTAAACTCATGCCGGGTGTGTGTGTGTGTGTGCCCAAAATCCCGAGAGGAGAATGGAGGAGAAGGGATTGTGGCGTGACCATCCCCCTGGAGGCGGGGGGAGGGGCGATTTCTCGCTTTCTATCTCTTTGTCTCTCTCTGTTTTCCTGGTGAGCGCACAATGCTCTATAGCAAAAACCTCTCCAAAAGTAAAAAAAAAAAAAAAAAAAAAAAAAAACAGTTGCTCCTTTTGCACTTTCCCACAGTCTAAGAAAAGCTAGATTTCATAATTGTGATTTATCACATTAAGACAGCATGTTGCATTTTCTACTTTTTCTTTTTCTGTCACACTCACTCTACCTGCCTGTCACTTATCCTTCATCCGTTCTTGAGAGGTAAATATTTCCCTGGCCATGGCTGTGGCCAGAGGAGTAAAGAGAAATGTCAGATCAGTAACCAAGAATTGGCCATATTCATCTTCTTAAACTTGTTTTTCACAGGCTTTATCTGAGTGTGCAGTGACACTGAAAACAATTCATCTCAAACGGGTAAGCTTGGGACTCCATGCCTGTGTTTTCATTTCACTTGTAATGTCTTTTACAGTTTTAACTGTATTTGTGTCATCTTGTTTTACAAAACTGTATCTTTTATGAAAGGTAATGAAATTAAGTTTTCACTTTTTTTGTGTTACTGTCTTTCCAGGTTTAATAATAAGGTTCCAGTGTATGTGGGTTCGGTAGGGTCTATGAACACACTTTGCTAGAAGTTCAAGGTCCAGATTTCATGATGGAGTAGCTCGCTCACAGCCGGTTTTCCCCAGCTTACTATTAGGCTGGTTGGAGCCCTTTACTACTTTAGAAAGTCCTGTTCTTTGTCAGTCTAACCATTTCTATAAATCATAAGTGATTCTGAGCTGAATCTAGCTGGAGGGTTATTTGCTTTTTATGGTATTTTTAAATAACTTGAATTAGTTGCTAACTTTTAAAAATACATACAAAAAAAATTCCTATCTCCTAACTTCTCTCAAAGCCCATGCCAACCAGTTCTGGTTGCTATTCCTCCGTGGCTACAGTCAGCGAAGAGTAACGGCTCCACACACTCACTCCTCTCTCCGCTCAGTCCACTCACTCATCTGCACTTGAATGTTTGACTCTGATAAAGATTTGAAGAGTTTTCAGTTGAGCAGCATTTTCTCTCTTCCTGCTGTGTGCTAGGGTGAAAAGGTGTTTAGGGGTTGCAGGCGCAGCAGGGGACACAGCAGGGGAGCTGTGAAAGGTGCTTAAACAGTCCTGCCACCTCCATGCTACTCTCAGAAGAGAGAGAGGTGGGAAACCGGGCATTTGGAGTCAAGCAGGACCTAGCCTCTACTCCGTTTCTGTCACTTAGTTCCTGTGTCACTTTGCGTGGTGTCTGTTATCTCTCGGGACCTCAGTGTTTTTCTCAGAAAAGTAGTTCCTGCTGTCCAGGGCAGTGCGAGGGTCAAATGCAGTGCTACATGCCACAGCCCTTTGTCTGCTGCCCACTGCAGAGATTTGTGGTAAAATAGTCTACACTGTTTAAAAAAAATAGTGCCCCAGCATTTATAGAGTTCAGACTCCAGGGAGTACATACGTAAGTCTAGACAGTTTAGTAAGTACTTCAGAAATGATGTATAAAAGTTATGGGGCTGGGACCCACAGATGGTATAATGGTAATATTGCTGGACTCCCACATAGTCGACAGCAGTTTGAGTCCTGGACCTGGCAGCTTAAAACTGATACTGGCATCTTAAAACTCACGCGCGCGCGCGTGTGTGTGTGTGTGTGCCCAAAATTCCAAGAGGATGGTGGAGGAGAAGGGATTGCAGCGTGACCATCCCTCCTAGGGGGTGATTTCTTGCTTTCTGTCTCTCAGTCTCACTCTGTCTCTTTGGTGAGTGTATGCACCCTAGAGCACAAAAATCTCAAAATAAATAAATAATCAAACAAATAGATAAATGTTATGTGACTAAAGCTAAATAAGCCCTATTGCCTGAGTGGGCAGTCTAAGCAAGCCTTAACAAAAGGTGATTTAGGGCCGGCTTCATGGCCTGGTAGTTAAGGGAACTGGATCCCACATGGCTGACTGCACCATTTGAATCCCCATCCAGCAGCTTGAAAAGAACACCAGGTACATGTGCACTTGGGCCCCAGATCTCAATAGGATAGGGAAATGAACAAGCAGGGAGTGTAGCATACCCATATACCCATACCCTACTGGGGTGCTTTCACTCGCTTTCTCTCTCTCTCTCTCTCTCTCTCTCTCTCTCTCTCCCCCTCTCTCTCTCTCTCATGAGCATACACACCTTCTGGCAAAGTTGGTGGTGAGGAGGGCTTATAGTTCTTAGGACAAATATAGATTGAATGGACAGGCAAGATTGGGAGTTGGCATTCTGAGCAAAGATGACAGCTGCATGAGAACACATCAGGCAATGCATGATGGATTGGTGGGAAGTTATAGTTATCCTATTTAGCTAAAGTGCGGAGGCAGAGCAAGAGCTAAAAAGCAGAATGAGACGAGGTAGTTAAAAGCCAGCCTATGCTGCATGTGAAGAGTTGGGAATCAGTAAGCAGTAGGATGACATTAGGAAAGCTAAGAAGATAAAGCCTTCAGAGAGCAGTTGGGAGTGTGACTCTGAAGCAGTCGGAGTCTCTGCTATGTAGCCAGTTAGGCCGAGACTTTCTAAGAGGAGGCCAGAAGAAACTGGCTAGAGCAAGAGGCAAGGGAAAGCCAGAAATAGAGCTAAAGGGGGAGTATGGCAAAAAGTTACAGGAAGAATCTCAGGAGAGGGGACGGTGACATTGTTGGGATGTGGGAGTTAAAGAGGATGAGGAATGAAAAGAACCAGTAAGAATGATAACTGAATCAGTGTAAAAGTATTCATCTTGGCCATAGGAGTCCTAATTTAAACACAGAATTGAGCCTAGTGATACTATACTTGAAAATGTTTTGCTTCATTGTTCTATTTTCTCATTCTTTTGACTAACTCACAGTTCCAGGTTGCTTTACCTGATTTCAGGAGGGAAAGATAACTGTAGTCGTTGTAATTGTAATGGTTGGTTATCTGTGGTGGTGAGTGATGCCTAAAGTACACATAGGGAAGGCAGACTAGGAACTCACCATCCCCTTCTGGGCCTTGGTTTCCTCATCTATTCCATGTGGCTACTAAATTCCTGTTCCTGGTTTGTTCAACAGGAAAAGGAAGATGCTTTATTCCAGTACCTTCTAACATCATTTTTAACTTTCTTGCTTGTGTTTTATGCTCTAAAGGTGGTCATTACCGTGTACTACTGCAAGGCTTCCCCTCATGCGCCCGATGATAACCTGTAACCCACCCTGTGACGGGCTGGAAAGGAGTATCTCTCTTTGCTATTCTTTTGCAGTGAATGAAAGGCTCTGGCATTGTGCCCTCCCAGATACAGAGTATTTGTTTAAGTCATCTTTAGCATTGATCTTACACTAAGCGTTGTTAGCATCTCGTGAATTCTTTTTTTAAAGAGAAATTTTTTATTTTATTTTATTTGTTCAATTATTTATTTTAATTTGACCAGAAAAAGACACAAACACAGAGAGGGAGAGGGAAAGTGAGAAAGCAAGCCACCAGGTCCAGGACTCAAACTGTGGTCGGCCATGTGGGAGTGTCCACTGCCTTAACCACCACACCACCAGCTGGTCCCAACATCTAGTGAATTCTAAGTGCTTTTTTAAAGAATTATTTATTTAATTTTATTCATTCAGTCATTCTTTTTTTTTTTTTTTTGGAGAGATTTTCGCTATAGGGCACGTGCGCTCGCCAGACAGAGAGAGAGACAGAGAGACAGAAAGCGAGAAATCACCCCCCAGGGGAGATGGTCACGCCGCAATCCCTTCTCCTCCATTCTCCTCTCGGGATCTCGGGCATGCACGCACACGCGCCCGGCGTGAGTTTTAAGCCACCGGGTTCGGGACGCGAACCATGGTCGACTACGTGGGAGTCCAGCGACATAGCCATTACGCTAACTGCTGGTTCCCCCCCCCCTTTTTTTCTTTTTTTAATTTGACCATAGAGCGACACAGAGGGAGAAAGCAGGAAAGTGAGAAAGCAAGCCACCAGGTCTGGGACTGGAACCACAGCGGGCCATGTGGGAGTAACCAGTGCCTTAACCACCATGCCACCTGCTGTTCCCAGCTTTTCTAAGGACTTTAGATTTCTTAACTCACCAAATACCCACAATAACCTCATTTTTCAGATAGAGAAACTGAGGCACAAAGAGGTCAAATCAACTTGCCCAAGTTACAAGGAAGTTTCTTGAGACAGGCTTCAAAAACAAAGCTATCTGGTTTTAGAGTTTATATTCCTAGTCACAATAGTATTACTATGTTGTCTTTAAAATGTGTGTGTGGTGTTCTGTTTTCGTTTTAAGCATTATCATCGTCAAGAAAGAAAATAACTACTCTTTTCATCTGTAGGGCCCAGAATGCGTTCAGTATCTTCAACAGGAATACCTGCCCTCCTTGCAAGTAGCTCCAGAAATAATCCAGGTAAGAGCTGTCCTAGCAAAGTCTGCTCTTAATTTAACAAAGCCCAACTGCATTCTTTGTGTAGGATAGCAAGAGTACTTAGGAGCCTGGAGTGCAGACTTCAAAGGGCCCATGCAATTGAATGGAAAAAAAAATTGTTTATTTTCACTGATATCTACCAGAAGCTTAATTTCCTGCCATTGTGTAAGCAACAGAACACAGTAGTAGCAGCAGCATTGCCTGTGACTTAGTCACCAGTAGAAATCACAGATACTTTCATATACACAAGTTTTCACTGATATCTCAAAATATCGTTTATGCGTGTCACCATTTTGAGTTATGAGGCAATAGCACTCATTACACCTTCTTACCTAGTAAGTTATTAAGTTGTTATTCTGCCACACTAAGTATTTTGATAACATCATTTATTACAGCTGATTTAATTTCTAATCCCATGTATTATACTCTGTGCATTTTAAAAAACATTCTAAAAGGAGTCTTAGTACACTTTTTACCAGACTGCCAGAGGGGACCATAAAGAACCTCTGTCCTCAAGTTTTGTGCAAGGTAGCTCGTTAGTAGTTCATTAATATGCCGAGCTTATCAGTGATGAATTTGTAAATCTGAAACTATTTTGATGTAAGTGGCTGCAAAGACATCTTGCACTTTTGCACTTCTACAGAGTCACTTGTATGACAGCATTTGGTTATTTTCTTGACATACAGTTGACAGATCTCTGGTGCAATGGTGCATGCAGCTAGTGAAGTACCAAACTTTTGAATCAACTAAAATGACAGTCTCTTACATAGATTGTAAGGTTTGTTTCTTCATCAATAACTTTTCAATTGTGGTAAAAACATTTAACATAAGATATTTACTCATTAACAAAATTTTTTTGAGAGAGATTTTTGCTATAGGGCACATGTACTTGCCAGAGAGACAGACAGAAAGCGAGAAATCACTCCCGATAGGGGATGGCCACATTGCTTCTCCGGTCACCTCTCAGAATTTTGGACACAAACACATGCACCGGGCGTGAGTTTTAAGTCACTGGATCCGGGACTTCAACCGCAGTCTACTATGTGGGAGTCCAGGGACGTAACCATTACGCCATCTGCTGGTCGCTCTATTAAGAAATTTTAAGTATATGATGCAATGTTGATAATTACACGTGCAATGTTATATCTATACAACATCAGATAGCTCTCTAGAACTTGTCTTGCATAATTGAGACTTCATGCTTATCAGTGAGCAACCCTCATTTCTACCCACCCTCCTAGCCCCTGGCAACCACCATGCTACTCTGGCTGAATGACATTGACTATTTTAGATACCTATGTAAGTGGAATCATGCAATCTTTGTTTTTGTGTGACTCGTCATTTCATTTAGCATAATGTCATTTAGCTTCTTCCACATTGTAGCAATATTATGATTTCTTTCTTCCTTTTTGTTTTGGTAAGTTGTACCAAAGGGAGATCAGAAGGTGGCATGGTGCTTAAGGCACTGGACTCTCACATGGCCAACCTTGGTTCAAGTCCTAGACCTGGAGGCTCGAGAATCACACTGGGTACATGTGCCTGCATGCCCAAAATGCTAAGAGAAGAATGTAGGAGAAGGGAATGCAGTGTGGCCAGAGTGGTGGTCACCAGGGGGTGGCAGAGGAAAGTGGGGGGTTAGCCGTTCAGTAGTCAGAGTCTCAATTTTGCAAGGGGAAAATTTCTAGAGATCTGCTATATGATAGTGTGCATGTGGTTTACACTACTGTACATATAAAAGTGGTTGTGATGATAAAGTAGTGTTCTTTACTATAGTCAAAAACAAACAAACAAACAAATAGAAAGCAAGTGTGGATTTGGGTTAAGATGGTCTTCAAGTGACTTAATTCATTCTCTCCTCTCTCCCTTCCCTTGTTGGTCCCATCTCAGGAGTTTTGTCAAGCGCTTCAGCAGCCTGATGCTAAAGTTTTTAAAAACTACTTAAAGGTAGGTGTTTGGGAAACTCAGATCCTGATACAATTAGGTAACGTCTGAGAGCCAAGAGAAAAAAATACATAGATTCTAGTTTGACCCACTGTCACTTACTTGGGGCTCTCTTTGCTCTCAAAGCTGCTTCAGAGAATCCGCAGTGACCCATGTTTCTGTGGGGCCCTTTTCAACTAAGCTCTTGCAAAACAGATGATAAACTTCAATAAGAGCACTGAGTGTGTGCATGTCTGAGCATACTGGTATAAAAGTTCCAGTTTTCTGGGACCAGCAGTTGGCGTAATGGCTATGTCACTGAACTCCCATGTAGTCGACCACGGTTTGAGTCTTGGACCAGAGGCTTAAACTCATGCCAGGCACGTGTGCATGTGTGCCCAAGATCCCGAGAGGAGAATGAAGGGGAAGGGATTGCGGCGCCCCCGGGGGGTGATTTCTCGCTTTCTGTCTCTCTGTCTCTCTCTCTCTGTCTGGCGAGCACACACACCCTGTAGCAAAAACCTCTAAAAAATAAAATAAAATAAAAAAGCAGCTCTTCAGCCTTTCAAGCTGTAACTGCATTTCTATACCATGAGACATGCACTCACACTGGGACTGTAGCAGTAAGGATCTTGGGCACATACACACATGCGCCCGGCATGAGTTTAAGCCACCGGGTCTGGGACGCGAACCATGGTCGACTACATGGGAGTCCAACGACATAGCCATCACGCTAACTGCTGGTCCCAAAGAGCTTCTATTTTTATTTAGTGTCTTCATTTAACAAATCTGAGGGCTCTGCCTTGTACTAAATTTCCTGGTAGTGGGTAATTTAGATTCTCTTGCCTAAGACAGTTCAGTAGAATTGATAAGAGGATTTGCTGAGTAAATAAGTGTGCAGTCCTTTGTGACTGTGACATCTTCCTTCGTCCTTTATTTTTTTTCTAATTTTAGTTTGTCAGCTTACATCTCCTAGAGTTTGTGTGAAGAACATTGAATTATCATTTATCATTGGAAATCCTCTCCCATTTCCTCACAAAGCAAACTGCCTAACCTCTGTTAAATGTCTGATCAAACTGGATTAAACAGCTCTAAAAATGCTAATTGTCTGTTGGAGCTATCTGTAATTTTATCCTTTCTTTTCTTTTCTTTCATTTTTTAATTGCCAGAGGGTGCATGCACTTGTCAGAGAGAAAGCACTCCCAGTGCGGTGTATTCACCCTGCAATTGCTTATTTACCTGCACGACATTTACGAAGTCTTTCTCCCAAGCCAGCTTCTCTTCAGCTTCTCTTGCGCTATTATTTTTGTGACAGCATTATCTCAATGTTAGCATCATTGTTCTAGTTGGAAAAAATGAAGTTCCTTTTTTTTGTTTGTTTGTTTTCTTGCCATAGGGCACGTGCATGTGCTCACCAGAGAGAAAGAATGAGAAATCACCCCCCATGAGGGATGGTTGTTACCTCTAAATCCCGTCTCCTCTGCTCTTCTCTCAGGAGTTTGGGCATGCACATACACGTGCCTCGCCTGGTGTGATTTTCAAGCCGCCAGGTCCAGACTCGAACTGCAGTTGACCACGTGGGAGCCCATCACTTTAACAGCCACAGTGCCTGCTAGCCCCATGAGGTTCCTTATTTTGTGCTGACTTCTTCCTTTGTATCTGATTTTACCCTTTTATCTTGGTGATTTTTCCCTCTTCCTCTCCCCCTTCCTGTCTGTCTCCCATTGCTGCTGTTCTAACAGCGCCTGATGTCATCTCACTCTGATCTCCCTGGTCTTATTCTGAGCAAGCGGATCTGTGCAGAAACATCAAATAGCGCTTTGAAATTCATTCCCTTTCCTCCTAACCTTCATAAGCCTATTGCTTACTGAAAACAAGGTCATGTTTCTCAATTTGGTCTTTAGTGTTTTGTTTTTTAATAATTTCTTATCTCAGACTAACTTTTGGGTTTCTCTTGCAGGCATGATCTTTGTTCTTCTTGCTGTTCTCAGCAATCTTGCCTTACTAGCCACTCCCCTTTATGATTTCTATTCTTTCTCCTAAGTTTACCTGAACCATGGCCTCCTTGAAAGGCTTTCTTTTGATTATATAGTGATCCCTTGTCTCTCTGCACTTAGTTAATAGATTATTAGATGAACAGTCAGTCTATAAGGTACATGATGGTAAGCATGGTACTTGTTCTTAAAAGCTCAACTGCCTATTGGGGCCAGCAGGTGGCGTAGTGGTTAAGGGCACTTGACTTCCACATGGCCAACTGCAGTTCAAGTCCCAGGGTGGCTTGCTTTCTCACTTTCTCTCCCTCTCTCTGTCCCTCTGAATGAATGAATGAATGAAGTTAAATAAAGTAATTCTTTGGGGGGGGTGGGGAAGACGCTTACGCCTACTGCTTAGTATCTCTGTGCTCAGTGAACATGTACCTCACCGGGGGTGGCAGTATGTAAGACTGGGCCAGCGTCTAACACAGCCTCTGCCCAACTCCTTCAGAGTCGTTCATTTTGAATTGAAAGTACTTTTTAAATAGTTGGAATGCCTATCGTCAGCTTTGATTTGTTTCTTCCTCAAAATTTAACTTCCCAGTGTTAATTTTGACAGTAGTGTGTCAGTAAAAAGGTGTTGAGCATTTTCCTCTAACCATTTGGATCTCATAGCATTAGAGGTAATGCTGCATCTTCATAACTTTCCCAGTTGGAATGTCATCACTGTGAGTTATAGAGAGACTTCATCAGATTCTCCAGAGGAAATAATTCTTATCTTGGATTATGTGTGGATTTATATGAAGTATGTAAACTGTTTTAAATATCTGTTGTGCTTTATGAGGGTTGCTAACATGCAGTAACTTGGAGCCATTCTTCAGGTGCAGAGCCTTTCCTCTGACATTAGTACTAACTGCAGTAATACTTGATTTGCAGGTGTTCTTCCAGAGAGCAAAGCCCTAAGGACTGGATCTCCTTGTGCCTACTTCATGATCAAAGAATTCCAGTTAATAATTTATAAGGAAGTAATTTTTGTGTGCCACTCACACTGGTCTTTTTAACATTGTTTTGAGCTTACTGCAATATATGTATTGCGATTTTTCTGTCAAATGGGTGTAATCTTCCCTCAGTACAGGTATGTGACAACAAGAAAAGTTGCTTGCATGCCTGCTTAATTATTCTAAATAAAAAATGCTGTTAAAAGACACAGCAGACTTATCCTAGTACGTTATTTTTTTTTTTAATTTGAAACTATAAGTACTTTGTGAAAACCATAGCAGTGGGAAAACTACTTATTTTTAATTGCTGAATATACAGTGTTGAAAATTTTCATTTTTTTAACATGTAGACACATAAAGTATGGGGTGAATACAACAATCAAAAGTAATTTTTTGTAGATAGCCATTACATTTCTTTAAACTGTTTCAATGCCAATGTGTGTTTGACAAAAGAGAAAGGTTTCATAAATTAATTGGTTTAAGAGTAGGTGCCATTGTTACACATTTTTTATTAAAAAAAATAAATTTTATGTAGTGAAATCTACCAAGTCTTTTCTGTAATTATTATAAATATGTTTGCCTTGTTTTCTCATTAAATTTCTCCCTCATTTCCCAGTTAGATGTGTGCAAATAAGAGTGTATGGATTTGCTTTGTTTCATTTAATTATGCTACTAAAAAGTTACATGCAACCTAGTTCTATTAAATAAGAGGTCTTAAAAATGTACTAGCAAAAGTCTATGTGAATTTGTTGATAGAGTTTAAAAAAACCCACAATTTCCCCCCTTTTATCGATGTATTTAGAATACAATATGCCTATGTGTTATGAAACTTATAAATAGCTGACCGTTTAATTACTAGAAGTATTTTCCCCTGCTTTCCTTCATTTTATTCAAGGCTGCTCGAGAAGGCAAGAGGAAAAGTAATAGTACCAGCAGTATTGGAAAGAGAATTCAGAGAGGAGAAACAGCTGGGCAGCAGAGTTATAGACATTCGAGCTTAAATTCCAAAAGCCCAAGGAAGATTTTCAGGGACGGTTGTTTTTGTTTGTTTCTTTCTTTCTTTGTTTTCCCTAAACCTCTGGCCCATGTGTCCCTTATGAATTTCATGGATGGGACTTCAGTGACCTATAAGCTCTCAAAAATTGTATTATAAATTGTGCACGTGAATATTTCTGGGTTTAATTCCAGAAGAGATTTTAAACATAGCCTTACATCATGGAAATAAAAGTACCTAAACTAAGTTGACAGTTAATTGTAAAAAATAGATGACTGGAATGAATATTCTACTTAAATAAACATGTTTCTAAAAACAGTGAAAGCTGGATGTTTCTTTAACAAGTTACCCTGTACTATGAGAGAATTGCATCTATTGCAATAGTAGAAATTATTCAAAGTACAATACAATTCTGAGGAGCATAGTATCGTATAGTGGTAGGAGCTTAGCCAGCACAGGCTCCAGACCCAGATTACATAGTTTTAAATGCCAGTTCTGCCAATAACTGGTTTTAGAACTTCGGGTGAGTTAAATAACTACTTCTTGCCTCAGTTTCCCCATCTGTAAAACGGGGGAAATAATGGTAGCTACCTCATAACTCATTAAGATTTCAATGAGTTAAACATGAAGAGCTTATTACAGTAGCTGGCACGTAGAGACTTGATATCTAGTCTGTGTTACTGTACATTCATTGCATATACGGAAAGATGACCCTTCCTTCTCTTCCCCTGGCTCTTTTAAACCCTTCAGAAGATTCACGTATGTTTAGTGCTAGGAAATCAGAATATGTTTTTTAAAAAAGTGTAAAAGTCATTCAACTCTTCATGTTATAGAATCATGTATAACAATTACATCTTTAGTCCTTGGATGCCCAGAGCACTTTACCTTGGAAGTACCATCGCAGTTAGAAAACTGTTCCATCATGAATGATCTTTTTTGTATAGTATTTCATTTCCAAAAACAAGCACACAAATAATTGTCTCAAGAGTGAGCCTCACTTGTTATAGGTGAGATGACAGAGGTTAAAACCCTTAGTGATTTGTGTGGGTTGGTTATGGAACCACCGGTTTTATGATGCCTAATCTAGTCTTGTGCCTAACGGTTTATTTCAGTCTTAAAATTAATGCTAACATTAATTGGTTCACAAGTGGCTTGACTGTTGAAGAAAATACTGTGGTACTTTAATGTGCATCACTTACGTGGTAAACGTGAAGAAAGCCGTTGGCTCAGTCTCATTTTTCTAGCGCAACTTTGAGCTGCGGGTTTTACTGTTGCAAAGAATTTTGACAGGTCTACACTGTTATCGTTAGATGTTCGAAAACTGTAAGCAGTGGTTAGATTCGTTGTTAGAAAGAGTCTATCACTTAAACATTGTTTAAAATTCTAATAAAGTAACTTTCTTCGTAACGACTCAGAGTGGGCTGTTTTTATCTCCATCGCGCAATTGAGAAAAGTGATGGTTAGAGAAGAAAACTGCATAAAGTCAGTGACTGGCAGGGAGGGATCTCAGTCTGCCACCCCAGGTCTTCCACTGCCATGCTTCTGCACTTAACGGCCAGCCATGGTTTAGCTTTTCGTTGTTTACTAAAATCCTTTGGAAAGCACCCCTTTTCCATCTCCGCTCCCACAGAAATTTAGCCCTACATCAGCAGGAGTCTTGGTGCCCGCTCCTGCAGTGCAGCGGCGGGGGGAGGGGAGAATGACCCCTTTTTAGGGATAGCTACTTAAGATCTAAGTACAAACCTAACCCTCCGTGCATGGCACTCCGCTGTGCTAGCCCCTCGGAGGGCTAGCATTCTGCCCACCGGTGATCTGAAGTTGTAATAGCCAGCTCAGCGTCTGCCCCACGATCTCCGCACTCCCGCTCGGGGACAGGATTTGCAGCTGCGGGAATCCGCATTACCGTGTTGACTTTGTAGGCAGGCAGGGCTCCCTGCATACACCCTCAGAGTAAGGGGGACAGGATGCGGGGAAGAGGCAGTGTGGACCAGCTTGTCTGCAGACGCGCACTGTCCCCGCCCCTCGGTGGAGCGGCGGAGGCAATCCGCCGCGGTGGCGGCGTCCGGACGGGCCGGCGGGCGTGCGCGCACACGCGCACCCGCACG